TAGACCAACGCCCCAAGAAACAAAAAAAAAAGTTGAAAATATCCACAGAAGAAACTGTCTTTCTGTAAGAAATCATTCTCAATCAATAGCAAGATTCCGCTTCAGCTTGGAAGAGTTAATTCTGCATTACTTACAAGCCATTTCTGTTCTCATGGCAACATCCACATAGGGAAGCTAGATATGAATTAACATTTTGCTGTCCAGCTTCTTCATGGGCCAATCCTTTCACATGTCAAGGGAGGTGATCCTCCCAATCCACTCTGATCTCATCAGATGAGGCCCCAGCCAGTGACCTGTTGGAGTGAGTCCACAGGAGGACCATGGAGATGATCAAAAGGATGGAACGCCCCTCCTATGGAGGCAGAGAGATCTTGAGTTGATCATCCTGGAGAAGAAAAGCTCCAGAGAGACTTTATTGTGGCCTTCCAGTACCTGAAGTGGGTCTGCAAGAAAGCAGGAGAGGGATTCTTTATTACAATATGTAGTTATAGCACAAGGAGTAATGGTTTTAAATTAAAAGAGAATAGATTGAATGTGTGTGTTTGGTGGCCCTGCTAGGCAGGGGGGTTGGAACTACGTGATCCTTGAGGTCCCTTCCAACCCAGGTGATTCTGTGATTCTGTGAGATTAAGATTAGATATAGGAAGACATTCTTCGTTGTGCTGTTGGTGAGGCACTTGGACAGGTTGTCCAGAGCAGCTGTGGATGCTTCATCCCTCCAGCCAGGTTGGATGGCAATCTTGTGTACTGGGTGTTGTTCCTGCCCACAGCAGTGGAATTGAAGGTAGATGGTTTTTAAGGTCATTTCCAACCCAAACCATTCTAATCCAGCAGCAAACTGAATGATGATGAAACCTAATTAATTATATGTAGCACACTGAGCACTGCAACTGGGAGATAACTGACCTGTGAAGCCAAGAGCAGGAGAGAGCAGCAAAAGCTCTTCAGTTGCTATGGCAAGCCGATCAATCTGTGCACCATCTTTCTTAACTTTCTTTCTGTAGCTTGCAACACTAGAACAAGGACAGTCTGGTACAATTCAGAATTGCCTCGTGTCTTTATATGCATGGAACTGATCCTCAGAGGCCTTTGCACTAGTTCACAGTACCTTTTTCTTCCTTCTTTCACAATGTGCTACCCTAAAATGCTTTACTATTTGAATAACTGGACTGAAGATAGATGGATATTCATTCCTATGAGGTCTTTAAAAGCCAAAGTGTGCCAGCATTTCATTAGCAAGGCTCAGAAGATGGGAACATAGTCATTCTGACAGTTATAAATGTCATAATTCAGGACTGAAGGGAGCTAAATAACACACATGAGAAGGTAGTTACCACAGCCAATTCATTTCCATTTTCACTAGGGCAGAAGAATCAATCCCCTTATAGAGTTTTACTGTCTGTGAGAGGAAATCCCTAAAAGGGAAAGAAGTAACAAAAGGAACTCGGATGTGAGCAGGAATAAAAAATGATTGAGCACTTACCACAGGATAGCAAAACTGTCAGACTTGTCACTGCTTCTTTTTTTTAACAATCATAAGAATCTCAGCAGAAGGAGTGTTATCACAGCAGTGCAACACAACAAAAATCTCTACGCACACAGTGTAGGGACAAAGCACAAAACTCAACAAAGTTAAAAAGCTTGACTACCTAAGATTAAAATCAGAGAAATGCTGTTTGCCTTTCTGTCATTGCTCACTGCCTTATGTAGGCACAGATACAGCACTCTTCTTTATATGGAGATCTATAGGGATAAAAATACTAAGAAAGCACAAGTTTTATTTTAATACATAGGCAGATGTGGCACCTTGCAGAATGGGACATTTGAGAAGCCCTGTAGCGCGCTGTGAAAATCAAAAGCAGCGTGGTTTCTGGACACTTGTGAAAGATTATATCCATACAAATGTCATTCAACCAGGAAGGAATATAGAAGGGGGAAGGAAAATGTAAGCTATATATTTACTTATTATTTCTATCCCACCTATGAGGAAAAAGTGGGAAGCTGGTATTTTATACAGTTTGAAACTAAGAAAGTCAAATACATTGTAATAAAAGTTTTCTAGAACCTATGTTTCACTTCCTTGCATTCTACTGACACTTTACAACAATACACCTCATTTAGTTCTCTCATGTAACATTCAACAATAACTTCTATCAGAAACACTTCAGATTTAATTAGAGAGTGGTTCCATTGCATAATAGAGACTTGGAACTCATGAATTTCTTCACTTTTTCTAAATAAATGATTTAATCGTACAGAACCCTGGGGAGCTAAGCAAGTCATTTTATTTCACTATCTGTATGGCAAATATGTAACAGAGAAGGAGGGATATTTAATATTTACACAGCAGACAGCATATTAATCCACAAGTAAGTCTCCATTGAAATCACAGTAAAAAAATGTTAGAAGGGATCTCTAGAGGTCAATCTGGCCTGAATTCCTGCTCAAAGCTGTGCTACCTTCAACTGTTCAAAGTTAGATCAGGTTGCGTGGAGCTTTGTGCAGTGTTTTGAAATACTCCAGGAATTTATACTCCAACTTTGGGAAGCCTGTTCCACTGTTTACCTGCTCCCACGTTGAAGGTACTGCAATGGTGGGACCTCTTCCAGTTGTTTACAAAAGATTTCTTCCTCTTTCTTGTCTTGAGATAGCTGTCAGTTGCAGTCAGACAACATGAAGGCCCCCTCGCTGGCCTCCCTTCCTAGTTCTGACACATAACCCTGTCACCATTTCCAAAGCAGAACCCCATGTATTTGAGCATCTGCTTAGCATCCTTTCTCTGACAATTAAAACTGTAACAGAGACCAACAACCTTTTTCTGTAGATAACTCATCTTTCTTTGACAATCTGCAAACGTTCTTCTCAGACATTACAGAATAACCTGAATCTCCGCTCAGGACTAGGTGCTCCTCCAGGGGGTTGTAAGTGGAATAACTGGTTTTACCTTCTTAGCCTTCTGCTGTAATCAAAATGCTGGAAGTTGTCTTAATCACCTATCAATCTCGCTATGTGACTCACAGGAATGAAGTTATATGGTAAAAATTACCACTGAGAGATCTTCTCTCCATCTTCTCACAAAACCTTACAAAACTTAGAAAACCTGAGTAAATTCGCAGCATGCTCGCTCAATTTAGTAGGAGCATCATCAGCTTGTATCTTGTATCTTCAGCAACAGATTTTCTGCACTAGGACATAGCAAGGGATAAATATGCTACTTTCTGATTTATTTAATGTTTTTGTTTTAGTGAAATGTTTTGGCTGTAAAGTGATCTACAGAATTCTGCAGAGGAACAAACATAGCACTTTATGTATTTATCACAGCTGTGATATGCTCTTGAGTAAAGTTTGCCTATGCTCTTTGGGGTCATAATGTCCTGTATAAGCTGAGGCACACTGAAGGCTATATATAAAATAGCTGAATTCATAGATTCTAAGGGGTGTGGGTGGCTAATTAGCTTATGAGTGCTGAATAGCACCAAACTTTTGACAACATTCCCACCACAGTTTCCTCACTGTTACTTTTCATCTCAAATTTTACTTGAGTAAGTGTGCCTATAACCCATAGGGATTAAATCTCCAAGGAATATTAGTCTAGAGATAAAATATATTTTTGTTCATTGCATAGTCCCACAGTGCTTCATTAACTCAAATTCCAAATACCTCCAGCAGAAATTAACTTATCAAGGATTCCACATTTCTAGCCCTAAAGGTACCCTGGCCATGTCAGTCTTCACAGGAACAATATATGTGCCTGTTCTTCACTGACTTCACTTAAACACAGCATTGACTTCAGTTTACACCAATGAGTAATGGCCGAATAGTGAACATGGGCACATAATGTAGACAGGTTGATGGCTGGACTAGATGATCTCTTACCAGTCTTTTCCAACCTTAATGACTCTTTGATTATGGCACTCCAAGAACAAAACCTGACACTAACTGCAAGGCAGGGATACAAACTTCCCCTGTGGTGACTCCCAAACTCATGTTGCCTTCTTTCTACACAGGAGATCTAAAACATTCCACAACAGTATCGACAACAGAGGGTAATTTGGCAGACATCTGGTATTGACTTACTTGACAGAGTGACAGAGCACTCTACCTAGACTGTTAGCTCAACCATTAAAATCATAGAGTCAGAGTTGCTTGAGTTGGAAGGGACCTTTAGAGGTCATCACGTCCAACTCCCTTGCAATGAACAGAGACTCCTACAGCTTGATCAGGGTGCTCAGAGCCCATCCAGCCTGACACTCAGTGTCTCCAGGGATGGGGCATCCACTGCCTCTAGGCTGCTATCAGATCTCTCCAGAGTCTTCTCTTCTACAGGCTGAACAGTCTCTCAGCCGGTCCTCGTAGGGAAGATGTTCCATACCTCCAATCATTTCTGTGGCCCCAGGGAGCGCTCCAACAGCTCCATGTCTCTGCTGTACAGAGGTCTCCACATCGGGCCATAGCGCTCCAGGTGAGGTCTCACAGTACAGAGCAGGGGAGCAGGATCACCTCCCTCGCCCTGCTGCCCACATTTCTTTTGGTGCAGCCCAGGATACAGCTGGCTTTCTGGTTGTGAGGGCACTTTGCTGGCTCGTGACCAGCTGCCATCCACCGGTCCTTTTTCATCGGAGCTGTGCTCTACACTTACATCTCCCAGCCTGTACTGACAGCGGGGGTTGCTGTGACCCAGATGCAAGATCCCGCACTTGCATTTGTTGAATCTCGTGAGGCTCTCTTGGACCCGCTGCTCCAGCCTGTCTAAATCTGTGGATGGCACCTCAGCTCTCAACTGTGCAAAAAAGCAGGGCGCTGGGCGCTGCGGGTGAGATCAAAGTCCGATGCCCGTACGAAACACCCCGACAGGCGGCCCCGGCTGAGGCGGGAAGCAGCGGCCGCGCCCTCCCGCCCGCCCCCGTGGCGGGGGCGCTTCGGCCGGGAGCAGCTGGCGGGCATGTGGACGTCGCTGGGCGCCGTCTCGGAGCCGGTCGGCCCCAGGGCAGAGAGCGGCCGCTTCTGGGCCGTCACCCTGGGGGCAGCGGTTGGGCTTTTCCTCCTCGGGTTCCTCATCGGTACAGTGCGGACTTCAGCCCTTTTTGGAGCGGAGCCGGGCTGAGCGGCGGCCGGGTCGCGAGGGTTGGGGGGGGGGGAGGGGGCAGGGAGAGGGCGGGAGTGGGGGAGCCGTGCCCAGGTGGCTCAGGATCGGGGATGGGGTGCAAGAAGGGGATAGACTCTTGATCAGGGCCTGTGGTGATAGGACAAGGGGAAATCGTTTCAAACTGAAAAAAAGATTGAGATTGGATATAAGAAAGAGGTTTTGTACTGTAATGGTAGCGAAGCATTGGGGCAGGTTGCCGAGAGAAGCAGTGAATAGCCTATCTGTGGAGAGACACTGAATGTCAGACAGGATGGGGCTCTGAGCACCTGATGGAGCTGTAAGTGTCCCTGTTCAGTGCATGGGAGTTGAACTGGATGGCCTTTAAAGGTCCCTTCCCACTCCAAAGATTCTATGATTCTATGTCCTGACTTAAAAATAAAAACAGATGTCAGAAACTTTCTAGCCAGGTGTTCCTTCATCACTTACTCTGATAATGGCTGTATAGTAAGGGAAGGTTTCCAAAATAAGAACCAGAGACAGAGAACATAGTTAAAAGACATCTGTTCCTTAAAAAGGGGCTCTGTTTCTTTCCTTTTTTTTTAAAGCTGCTATCTTTCTGCATTGGCTGGCAGCATCATGCTCTGTGTGCAGGGAAGATAGGAGTTCTCAACATCTCTTCATTTGGAGGAGAGGAGGTTCAGGGGAGATCTCGACACTCTTTACAACTCTCTGAAAGAAGGTTGCAGCCAAGTAGGGGTCAGCCTCTTCTCTGAGGTAAAAACGATAGGATGAGAGGTAATGGCCTTAAGTTGTGGCAGGGGAGGTTTGGGTTGGATATTAGGAAGAATTTCTTCTCAGACTGTGTGGTGATGAGTGGCACGGGCTGCCCAGGGAGGTGGTGGAGTCACCATCCCTGGAGGTGTTCAAGAACTATGGAGATGTAGCACTGAGAAACATAGTGGACATTGTGAGAGTGGGCTGACAGTTGGACTAGGTGATCTTAGTGGTCTTTTCCAAACTTAGTGATTCTGTGATGTAAGATCTGCAGTAAAATGACTGTGATTGGTATAGCACTGTTTTCGCTTCAGTGCTCTAGCTAACAAATACTGTGGTGCAGGGCTATCACTGCCATTACCAGTATCAAGTTGTGGCTGTTTTATTGTGCTGCGATAAAGAATAATGGTAAAATATGCAGTGAAAATCTTGTAATATTCAAGAAAAATGTGTTTTGATGTGTTATATAGGCTGGTTTGCAAAACCTGTAGAAGAGAAGACACCTTTAAGACCTCATGTGGAGATGAAGGCGGCATTTATGGCTGAGATGAAAGCTGAAAACATCAAGCACTTTCTTTTGTAAGCAATGTGTAGCTTTATCTGTCAAAAAAAAAAAAAAATAATCAGGAACCAGCCCAAGGATACCACTAAACAGATCAGTGTGTAGGCTCTTGGCCATTGGTTTCAACTAATGTTTTCCAGTAAGATGAGAGAGACTACAGTCCATCTTGACTTCTTTCATTCTTGTTTGTGTTGAAAGCACTTGGAGTCATTCTCAGCAAACTCAGTACTTAAAAGTAATTAAGAGCTGGCCAAATTCTTGCTCAGCGGTTGGTGAATACTTGCACAAGCATAGTTCACTCTTTCACGTATGTGGCCTATTTAGACAACAGCAATGTTGACCTTACACTGTTTTTTTATGGAGGGTGTTTACTTCAAATTAGGCTTTATGAATGAACAGGACAAATTCAGTGCAAAATAGTGGAGTTCTTAAACATAAAAGAGAAAAAAGTCATGCCAGTATTTGAGCTTGTGTTTCTTTGTGTGGAGACCTTTACGCTTCTTTGCTGTTCTCCCAAATTTGTGACCACATTTGTGTTACTTGGCAGCATTCTGTCATGTTCTCACTTTCTTGAAGAAAGATGTTCCCTCACACTCCCTCACCGCACAGTGAACAGCTAGAATGGTTATCTTTAAAGCCGTAAAGACACTTTTAAGACCATGTTTTTTTTTCCCCAAGGAGGTTTTCCGCTCCAACAAGCAAAGATGCTAACTTCCTGAAAATTCAAGTGGTAAAAAATGGCACTGTAGATTTTTAAAATCTATTGTAGTTGAATTACTGTAGTTAATTTCTTGATTTCTTAAAGTTTAGAAGCCTTAGCTGCTAGGAAACTGATGCATTATTAATTGTTTGTTCTAGAGACCTTCTAAACAGATTTTCTTCTAGGAAGGTGTGATACTTGTTAAAATAATATATTTATTTGAACTAGAAGTCGTAAATTATTGATAGAAATTGACTTTCTATGTAAAGAAAATTTTAAAGTGTCAGTGCTTTTAGAAGTAGACAGTAGTTCTGGTTTTGCCTTTAAATCCCAGCCTGATTAAATAGCAGGAAGTTATATCTTACTGCAAAACATTACAAATTACAAAATTACAAAACAAAACAAAACATGTTCAGCTTATTGATTGTGTCAATCCCACATATTTCGTTTTAAGTACACTTCCACAAGCTATTGCAAATAAGTTAGCTGGAAAGTACATTCTCTTTACTGCGTTTATAGCCTTGTCCTGGGCTATGTAAACATTGAAAACTTAAGATTTTTTGCACTCTTCAACCTGTGTTTTGGCTCCTGGAACACCAACTGTTGCGCAACAGCTCTGTAAAAGAAGCTTTCGTCCCTCCAATCTCTGTCTCTGTGCCAGCAGGAACATTGTACCACATTTACTGACATGCAGCCAGTCTGTGGTGGAATACACAAGTGCTTAATCACTACTCAGAACTAGCAGTACAGGCAGTCAACAGATTAGAACAGGAAACGAAGAAAAACAAAGTTCTACTAAATGGGGATATGACACAGGAGAACACTATTGCATAACTCAAATTGTAATCAAATCCAAAGAAAGTGCTGCCTTGACTGTATGAGGAACAGCACAGTCTTGATAGAAGCTGTTGATGTTATCAGAAGAACATGGCTCTGTACAAAAGTCAGAAGTATATAATTCTTCCAAAGTACTTTGCTGTTTTTTGGTAACACTCAGTGGAACTTAAGAAGTAAAATTTTCCCCAACCTTATACCTGGATCTTATCTGAGGTCTCCTTTCCTTCATTAACACCACTGGGTTCACGTGGCGTGCTGATGGCGCGGTTGTATAACAGGATGAGAACATAATGATGATAATCTCATTCAATGGGGGCTTCTTTAGATCAGTTCACCACTGGGTTTTCTCAGTAATCTGTCCAACTTTCACTTTCAGCTGATGAGTTGTTCACCATTCCTGGTATTATACACTATTTGTTATTCAGTGTGCATGTCTCTTAAGTCACAAGCTGCTGAATTTTTCTGTTCCTTGTTTGTAAGCTGCTACGAACTCATGCTTTTATTTGCCAACAAAGCACACTCAGTGTCAACTTTCAGATGAATCAGTATTTGCACTAAAATTAATTAAAACAGTGGGATCTGAGGACACTTTCCAGCTAATTAAATATGGGTATCACAGTTTAATTATGCACATTTCTAAACTGAATACCTAGAAGTAATTATGCTCAGTTATTTTACTGCTTCAAGGAGGGCTGGTCTTATTATACAGAGAAATGGCCCTAGGATGCCCAAGACCCCATGGCTGATTTTCTGCCATTCTTGCTAGGCTGCATTGCTAGCAAGATGTAAACATCTATGACTGAAACCTTTTTCCTCACGTTATGTGTATGGCAGACAAAAATATAAATGCTGAAGAATCTTGGTCTTGATTCAGTCTGGATACATCTGGTCATATCCAGGAGATGTTTTTAGCTAGGTTAAGATCATATGCAGCCATGCCTGATCCTGACCAATTGCTTCTGTTTCTTCTAGCAATTTTACACAGCGTCCTCACCTTGCAGGAACAAAGGAGAATCTCCATCTGGCTCAGCAGGTTCAAGCTGAATGGAAGGAGTTTGGTTTGGATTCTGTTCAGTTGGTTCATTATGATGTCCTGCTCTCTTATCCTGATGAAAATAAACCAAATTACATCTCAATAATTGATGAGCGTGGAAATGAGGTACTGAAAACAGCTGTTTTTGCAAACAGTGGAAAAAAAACACCTTTATACACCTGGGAAGACTGGAAGGGAAAGCTGTCCTCTGCTCTGTTCATGGCACCTGATTCAGAGTTCATGGAAATTAGTGGTTCTCATTTGCTTTATTTATTTTTTCTTAATTTATATATTTGTTTCTTCATTTTTGTGCTGGGAATACTAATAACTGCGCTGCTTCGTGCAGCTTACTGACACACATGGATGAAAGGAAAAGTGTGTGTTAGAGTTACTGTATGTAATTCAACTGTTTTAAAATTGCTGTGTTATTTAGGGAGAGGAAATCAACCACGGTTAGCATCATTACTTGTCTTGAGTCATTTTACAGCATTGGTGATTGTGCTGAATTCAGTTCCTCGAAGATTACAGACTTTATGCCTCAGGATACACTGACACAAAATCAGTTCATTACAGAGCAGCTCTACTGCTCACTGAAGGACGAGGGATGAGCAGAATGCAAACATTTTTTTTATTATTGTGATCTAGCCTTCTCTTACTTGCTATATTGACACCTTCAAAGGAACCTGGGTTCACATAAACAGGCTTCTGTGCTAAGTCTGTGACAGTGAGACTATCAAGATCACACACTGAATTCACATACAGAAAGTGATAACCATTGCTTATTGAAGTTTTGGTCACATCTCATTTTGAGTTAAAAAACTAGAGTCCTTTAAACATAAATGCCTGTGAAATGTGCCTGCATAAACAGTACTTCTTTTTCATATTTCCTGGTTTACTCTTTTGTTAGAATCATAGAATCACCAAGGTTGGAAAAGACCTAAAAGATCACCCAGTCCAACCGTTCACCTATTCCCAATAGCTCCTACTAAACCACGTCCCTCAACACAACATCCAGCTCAACACAACATCCAGCATGTTGTGTTCTTTCCTAATAGGTGTTTGTTCTTTCCTAATAGGTGTTCAACACATCATTGTCAGAGCCGCCTCCTGCAGGGTATGAGGCAGTAGGAGATGTGGTGCCACCCTACAGTGCATTTTCAGCCCAAGGAATGCCTGAGGTAAATGGTGGAATACTGAAAGAGACAGAGACAGAGATGGAAATAAGAGAAGATGGGATGCTGGAGCATAGCATAGTGTAAAGTAAATGGAATAGTATGGAATAGAGTAATGTAAAATCCCTAGATCTTAGGCTGTGTGTGTACAGACCCTGACATACTACCAGTAAGAACGATGAGTCAGCCCTGATGTTATTGGGAGTTTTACAATGGAGCTGTGTTGAAAATGAACTGTCATACATACATGTCTGTTTGTTTGTTTTCCCCTCTAGTTTGACTTAAAATTGAATTGTTTTTCATTTTCCTAAAAATGTGAAAATAAGTCTTTTGTTTTATTCACTTCTTCAGCTTCTCTAGATATTGTGTGAATATACACTATTCTTTTCCATCTTGGTGATAAAAATAAAACTTATATTTAAAAGTAGGCAATTAACCAACCTCATTTTCAAAGTGCTGTTTTCCAGAGACTGTCATACAGCTGTACCTGTGCAGTGTACCATGGCTATTGCAAATGGCTATTGCTAGCACTTGTCTTTTCTCTGTTGCACAGATGGCAACAGCTAACAAACTGTCTATTCTGAAGCTGGCCTGTGTAACAGGAATCTTCTATTCTATGGTCATTAATTGTTTTGATACATAATTTGTAAGAATAGGAAATATTTTTTTTGCTTGCTGTACCTTCCTTGTCTATACACAGAATAACATAGGTGGGGAGGGCCCTCTGGAGGTCCTCTCTTCCAAGCTGGCCTCTAAAATTGGAGTTGACTTTGGAATCTGCTAGCAGTATTAAATTCATATTCTTTCTGAAGCTTGTTAATAAGCTGCACAAGCCCAGAAAGCAAAATATATCCTATATTCATACTCGGAGGAAGCTGGAGAGCTAGACAGGTGGCCTGTCTCCTAGGATATGAGAATTATGAGCGTTTCAAGAGTCACAGTGGGAATTTTGGAAGGTAATATAAGGTAAAATTCATCTATTCTGCCTTCCTGTTTTAATATTCCCACAGAAAGACAGAATAACTTCACTGTTTTATTTGATTTCTAGTGAGCTACTGTAAATGATGGGATATGGGAAATAACAATAAAAACAAGTTTTAAAAGATGCAGCTTCCTTCTTTAGAAAATGATTTTATTTGAATTAAACAGGAGAACATTGTTTCTGAAAGAAACAATACCTAACGGACAGATTTTCTATTCAAAATATATTGCTTATGTTTCCCTTAAAGCATAATGGTTTGGTAATAGCTCCAGATACTGGTGCTGTTAGCCACAACGTTCTTCAGTAAGCAGTTGTTGCAGCTCTACTGCAAATAGCATAGCAGGGGGCACGTATAAAGCTCTGCAGTGGGAATGCTGCTTGCGTTTTGGGCTCGTCTGAGTTTTCCCATATCTCTTTATGTTAAAAGCCATTTTATTAAAAACAGAACTAGGCTGTGGAGACAGGTGTGGAACCTGCCGGGTGCATTCATCAATCTTAGGCTTTCTGCTCTGAATTTTGGGACAGTTCCTGCATAAAGCTCGAAGTTCAATGGAGGGAGAAGGCTGTCAGGAACCTGCATGCCAGCATAACTGTAGTATCAAGAGTAGGAGACTTTGCTGAGAAGTGGGAAGAAATGGATCAAAGTTCTTCAGACTGAGAGAGGCCAGGAACTCAGCTTTCTTATCTTCTGGGTGAAAGCTCTAATCAGGGAGTTGTAGAGGTAGTTAGGCGCTGCTAGCACCATTACTATTTCCTGCAGCTGCTCTTTAAAAATAGGTGGTAGTGACTCTATTTTGAAGGTTATATACTGTCAGAGTGGGATGGTAGCTTCTTTTCTGCTAGAGAGAAACCCTGCAGAGATTTAGAAATAGCTGCTGCTTATTTCTGGTAGATGTAGTATTGTGACTGGGCTTTCTGGATGTGTTTGTGTCCGTGGCAGGAGAACAGCAGTTCCACAGGCCCACTGACCCAAAAAGGGGAGGGGAGGTTGTCAGTGGTTTGTGGCAACTTCAGCCCAGTTCTGTGACTAATGGAGCGTGGGACCCATGGATCCACACCCTGGGAAAGGGGAAGGGAAAAGGGGGAAGGGTAGGAAGATGGGAGATGAGCCTAAATACAGAACAGCAGCAACCATCTGAGGAGGAAAGATAATTTACTAAATATGATATCAGAATGCAGGATAACACACTATAATACAATATATTATTGGAATTGAGGCTAATAAATCAGATAAAATGAGAGAGAGTATCTGAAACTGAAGGCCTTACTTTGAATTGAAGGTGGAATGGCTGGGAAGCACACCCACACACTGCCAGGCAGCAAGGGAGGGAGAGAGTCCCATGACTTGCGGGTCTTTCCTTCCCCTCTGAAGGAAAGTCTTCTGGGATATGTAGTTCTTTATCTCTTCTGACCAGATATCCAGAAGTCAGTCCAAGGAACTGGAGTATTAACTCTTTAATTCCACGAGCTTTACGTGATGTGGTGATGTGGAATACCAGTAACAAAAGTCATAAAACTATGACAAGTGTACCCTGGTCTCAGATACAATATATTTTTCTTCCGTGTGGTGTATTTCAACTAGATCCCAATAAACAGGAAAGAAGTTAAGTTTTGAGCAAAAGCTTCTTTTCTTATAAATCTTTAGTAGAAAGCTTATTTAGTGATGACGTGAAGTCACGTTCTTACATACAGTAGTGTTGGTTTGGAACATTAGCATCTTAAATAGCAGTAAAATTCTATTCTTCATTGCTTTTTAAGTGACTGGAAAAATGCCTCATGCCTTTGGATGTCAGGGGGAAGTTCTTTACTGTGAGAGTGGTGAGGTGCTGGAACAGGCTGCCCAGAGAGGCTGTGGATGCCCTGTTCCTGGAGGTGTTCAAGGCCAGGTTGGATGGGGCCCTGGGCCACCTGGTTTACTATGAAATGGGGAGGTTGGTGGCCCTGACTGTGGCAGGGGGGTTGGAGATTCATGATCCTTGAGGTCCCTTCCAACTCGGGCCATTCTGTGAATCTGTGATGAAGCCAGTACAGTTAAAGGGCTGTACCTCAGTCTGTGCTGTATGCTGTATTGCAAGGCCACCTGAATGTCTGGTTACAGACTGTGTTGGAGATTTAAGGTTACTCGTTTTTGAAATTAAATTGAATATCTTTCTGGAAGTGTGTGATCATACAGAGAAATGCACCTTGAGAAGAATTATCTGTCACCTAAGTTTAGCTGTCTGAAATGGCAAGTGTCTACCTTAAACTGGTTCTTCAATCTCACTGTAGGCATTTATTCTAAAGAGGACAGCGTGTTTCTTCCTAAGATAGTTTTGGGATACCTCCAGCTGTCCAATGCTGACTGACTAGAGCTTAAGCAGACTAGAGAGAAGAAAGGCCAATGCTCTGAGAGTTACACTCAATTTCTGAATCATATCTTACGTTCTCTATAGAGTCTTGAGATCACACAGCTTTTTATATTACTGTAAATTCATGAGAAGTCACTTACTTACCTAACTGTCTCTATCAGAGGAGAATTCATACAAGAGCCAATCCTGAAGATTATTGTTCCCAGCCTGTTGTTTTGCTAAATCCCATCCTCCTCCTGTTATGCTCACTGACATTCAAATTCTGTTTCCTTCTATCAGGGTGAGTTAGTGTATGTCAATTATGGCCGCACCGAGGACTTCTTTAAGCTAGAACGTGAAATGGGAATTAACTGTACAGGAAAGATTGTTATTGCCAGATATGGGAAGATCTTCAGAGGAAATAAGGTAATCACTCCATATAGAAACGTAATTTATGCCATCCTTTAGTTGATTTCAAGAGACTGAAACTCTTAACCAAAGTCTTCTCAAGCTTGTAGTGTAATTGAGGTTTTCATAGAGGTGCGTTCAAAGGAAATTATTTAATAGGAGATATAAAATATCTGTTTGGTATGTATATAATACACCTAAAGGATAAAAGTGAGTTGGAAAATGTTACGTATTTCAAAATGTATCTGCTTACTATTAATTGTTCCAAAATGTAACTAACTTGCTCCAGTAATATACTCTGAAGTAGTCTGTTCTTCCCAGTTTGTTCAAATGCACCTTAATATAATTTGGGAAGTGCTGTATTTTGAATTTCTCAGTTAGATCTGAGTGTCAAACACTGAATATCCTCATTGGAATGCCAAAATTTATTACACAGACTTGAGTAATCTTCTGGAGAGGAACTCACTGGTTTACATATATACTATTTTCACCAGTGAAAAGTGACTTGTGGCTCTTAACTCTAAGTCAGATATCACTGTGATTGAATTTTTATAGGCTGCCACTCTTAAAGATACTATCTGAATGGAAAAGACTTAAACATTATAGAAGAATCTGACTCATTTATTAAAATGAAATACAGATCAAAATTGCTCATAACCAGAGGGACAGGCAGTTGCCATTTAGTTTGGAAGTGATATGTCCTCACTGACATAAGGGGATGATACGTTCACTCTTACAGTGGTGTTTCTAACAACTGTTTATATTGGTGTGCAAGTCTCCTACTTCACTATCTGTGTATCTATATGATCTTTTTGATATGAGACAAGTATGGGACCTTTGTTTAGCTAAAGCTGTGTGAAAGGTTCCAAGTTATAATCACTGTAATTTATAATACTTTCTTTTGCCCCTTGAATGCTTATGTCAAGCTATAAAGGTCTGGATAGAAACCAGAGATGTGCTTTGCAGGTGAAGAATGCTGAGCTGGCAGGTGCCAAGGGAATTATTCTCTACTCGGACCCTGCTGACTACTGTGCTCCAGGAGTAGATCCGTATCCAAATGGCTGGAACCTTCCAGGTGGAGGAGCTCAGCGTGGAAATGTATTAAACCTGAACGGTGCAGGAGATCCTCTGACCCCAGGCTATCCTGCAAAAGGTGAAGTGTCTGTTCAGTGGACCATCACACACTTCCTAAACGGGTGCTGAAATTTACAGCGGAGTTAGACATCTGTATGTCTTCAGTACTAAGAAGAAAGCCTCCATCAGAAAAGGTCACTGTGAATGCTGTATAAAGGACAAAATTCCATTCTATTCCATAACCTACTGGAAGAATGGCTTCCAAATGTTTATGTTTGTCCACACTGTGAAAATTTAGATTCTGGTTTGTGGGGGGAAAAAAAATATATTTGAATTGTGTCTTGTCTGAGCCAAACCTAGTCCTCATTTATTTATGTATTTATTTTTGTGAACACAGCAGAACAAAATATTCATTAGTCTAGTGTGCAAGTCTGTATCTGAATCTCTGGCAGATGCCCAGCTGAGTGTTCCAAACATTAGGCTATGGGCTCACAGTTTAGTCTTGTTTTTTGGCTGTGTCTTTTTCTGAAGTTGCTTCCCACAAAGAGAAGTATTTCTGTATCATTTAAATGAAAAAAAAAAAAAAAAAGATTAAGAAATAATTTTTAAATCTCCAGCCAATTCTGAATGTGTAACTGTAGATGCTGTGGGAGAGTATTTTGTGGTGTTGTTTTGAAAATGTGCTGATGGAGCACAAATAGGGAAGTCACCGAGGAAATGTCAGCCCAAGTGATAGGGAAGTGAAATGATTCTCTTTGAGACCTGTGGTGTCTTTAAGGACTGTGCTGTGAAATGTACAGATTGCTTCTGAGACTTCTAAGGACAGAAATCCTCGTCTTTGCCTTTCAGAATACACCTACCGCTTAGACAAAGCCAGTGGTGTAGGTCTCCCAAAAATTCCAGTTCATCCCATTGGCTACCATGATGCTGAGTCATTACTGAGGTAAGTGTTGGGGAGACAAAGAATTTTAAAAAATGTTCAGTGACAATGAGAAGAGTGCTTGAAAAGAAAAGGAAAAGGTTTTTTCACTCAGCAACTTCTGTAGTTTTTGAAATCCTGTTTGTGATTAGATCTACACATGTTGCTACGTGCCAGATTCATGCAAAACACATGCAAAGTGTTTTGGAAAGGCCTGTTTTTAATGCATCAGGTATTACGTGAAGTAACAACGATTAGCACAGGTACACTGAAGTTGTAAAGTTACTGTAGAGAAAAGGCAAGAACTTGTGGGCCTGCTGTGATGCTTGTTTTGTGAAAAAAAAAAAAACAAAATAAGGAGTGTCCAGGTGAATACGTGACTATACATCTTTGATGGGACAGTATCTATATTGTGTTGTAGTTATATGAAGCCATATTTTTTCTCCTCATTTGTATTATGTTGTGTAAATGTGAAACGATGCTAGCACATGAATGTAAGGATACTGGAAAAGCTCTGGAGTGTTAAAAAGTAAGTAATAGATAGCCATATTTAAGGAAGTCTGCATACTGAGTGTGCAGGTGATCTGAAGACAGGCTCCGAGCTTTGCAGAGGATGGTATTAAAATTCATTTTTATGTTAACGAAACGTACACACTGAAAAAACTAAGATGCAGTAGATTTGGCAGGTGCAGCACTGTCCTTAAACATTCAACTTGGAGCAAGAAAAGATGACTTGGACACATCATACTTGTTCAGTTTTAGACATCTTAAGAACACTTCAGCTGTGTCTATGCCACCATATTAAATGGTGCCCAGAGGCAGGCACTGAAAGACAATTGCCTGTGCTGTTAAGCTGTTAGAATGGTCCAAACAACAATCTACTGAATGAAAACTGCAACTGCAGTTCAAGGCAGTAGAAAGTTCCAAGGACCATTTACAATGAGCAGTTTATATGCAAAACCCTTGGAAGCAAAGACTGTTTTCCATTCTGAACTGTCTTCAATAACCAGGAACAGTTCTTCTTGTTAAAATACTAGTATTAATGTAGCCAAAAATGTAGATTAGTCATCTTTGAAACCTTATGCTATAAAATGTTTAAGACAGTGACCATCACTGTGGTCTGCATTTGCATGGCTCTGAGAAAAATCTGTTTTCTGCTTCCTTGTTTGTGTTTGGTGCTAAGATGATTGTAATAACAATGATACTACATGTTTCTTTTCATAACAGTAATATGGGAGGATCTGCAGCACCGCATAGTAGCTGGAAAGGAAATTTGAATGTGTCTTACAATGTTGGTCCTGGTTTCACAACAAATTATTCTACAAGGTAAGTTCTGTTTCATAAGGAAAACATGTTTGGGATTGGAGAAAAAAAATTGGTAGAGCAATACAATTTGACTGAAGATACAATGGTCAAAGTTATATGCATTGTTCCTTTGATTTTGGCCATTTCCTGGGCTGAGCTGCTCTCTGCAAAGCTGCAATAGATTCACATCTAATTGGGCTCACATGACTGAATTGCTTTAGTTTTAAGCTAATATTGAGCCAAGTTCATTTGACAGTCATCTAGCTTTTGGCAAGCTATTTGAATAGACGGGTTACTTTTTCAGAACAGAACCTATGTATTTGAAATTCTTGTTGGACTGGCTTTTGATCTTACCTTTTGCCATGTATAAAACAATATTAACCTACACTTTTAAGATTTCCAGAAAAAAATGCTGGAAGTGCAGTGTCATTTTTATTAACTCAGATTTATGTTTAAGTAAATAATTACAGTTTAGGATCAATTCCAGGCATTTCACTATTGGCTGAACTACTGTATTGACTTCATATGAACCATTTGACCTTTTGTTTTTTAGTCAAACCTCTTCTTCCAGAAAAAATATGCAGGCATCTTTGAGGATGAGCTGTTGTACCTCCATCTGTGTTGTGGATAAACAGAGTCTGTGACACAACTCAGTTCATCTGATTTTCTGGTGTCTGAGGTGCCACATCAGTACGAACATGCAGACTGTGCTGAATTCATTACAGTTTATTCTGTATGCTTTTTAAAGGTGTTGATGCTTTATTATGTAATCTGATTAACTTTTTCTTTGGATTTTTTTCCCAACGTACCAGAAAGGTAAAAATGCACATTCATAGCAACAACAAAATAACAAGAATTTACAATGTGATTGGTACCATCAGAGGCACAGTGGAACCAGGTAAAGTTATTTGTCTTCAGTGGAGTAGCTAGAAAGGGGAAATGAGGAAGATAGTTTTCTCTGAAATACTGCTTTGTGTGATACTTGGTGTTGAAATACTTGCTGTGTCAGATTTCGTACAGTTAACAGTACAAGTGCTGAGTTCCAAAGGGAGAGTCATACTCTAGACAGAATATTTGTCTTCAAACAAGTAGTTTTGCAACTGAAGGAATACTCTTAAATGGATATTTTTCCCTATGAACTAGGGAATGATATTGCCAGTTGAAGGAATTCAAAACCAAATGGAAATGGTTCAAAACCAGGTTTTCCGTTCCACCTGAATACATCGTTTCCACCACTGTTGCCTGATCGCCTGTCTTATAGTTTTCTGCAGCCAATGTTATATTTACACATAAAAAAGCATAAATAGAGACATCCCTGGAATGATGAATTCATTTAATGTGTAACTGCAGCCCTTCCCTGTTCTCTGAAACACAACTGCTGACCATATTACAGTATCACAGCTATCTAGTCTGACTTTGATCATATTAATCACATTTCCATCACGTTGAACACCTTTTTATGACTGACTATATACATACTCACAGATACACATGCTTCCAATGCTGGGAGTCAGCATGATGTACAGAAATACACACGCTATTGTAAAATGTGAAAAGATGCATCTATTTTCAGAGGCAAACCACAGAATTTCTAGTAGTAGAAGTAATGTTATGAAATTTAGGAGATCTTATGTCCTATGGCCTTGAATTGTTTGACAAGTTTTGTAGCACTGGCTGAAAATGTAGAAAAATGTCTGGATGTTAAAAATATCTTTTACCTTTACATTATGTGTGATACAAACTAGTAAGTTTTGTTACCTAACACATACATGAAAAACTAGAAATAAGTTCCAGTCCTGCTGTGTCCAGTTCTGGGCTCCTCAGTTCAAAAAGGACAGGGATCTTCTAGAAAAGGTCTAGTGGAGGTTCACAAAGATGATTAGGAGTCTGGAACATCTCCCCTGTGAGGAAAGGCTGAAAGACCTGCACCTCTTCAGGCTGGAGAAGAGAAGGCTGAGAGTGGATCTCATCACTGTTCATAAATATCTGGAGTGTGAAGCTGATGGGGGCAGGCTCTTTTTGGTGGCATGCAGCAGTACCAGAAGGGGCGGTGGGCAAAAACTGAAACGCAGGAAGTTCCATATGAACACAAGGAAGAATTTACTGTGGGAGTGATGAGCACTGGAGCAGGCAACCCAGAAAAGTTGTGGAGTCTCCTGCTCTGGAGATATTCAAGACCTATCTGGATGCCTTCCTGTGTAACCTGTTCTGTACGGAACCTGCTTTAGCAGGGGAGTTGTACTCTGTGATCTCTAAATTTCCCTTCCAGCCACTACAGTTCTATGATTCTGTGTGTAATTAACTCTATAGCAGGAAAACAATGGTTTTTTTTCTAAGTAAACTTCCGTATTTTTCTAGATAGATATGTCATCCTGGGAGGCCACCGTGACTCATGGGTATTTGGTGGCATTGATCCTCAGAGTGGAGCAGCTGTGGTTCATGAGATTGTGAGGAGCTTTGGAAAACTGAAAAAAGAAGGTAATTGTCATGAGGGAATAAAGCACACAAAAAAACACCGCTTTCGTCAGTGTCTGCAGATATCTCTGAGATTTAAGCATGTACTTAAACTTAGATTTATTTATCTCTGATCTCTCAAAGAAGCACATTGCTCTGCAGCTCTTAATTAATCACACTTACAATCTCAGTATCTCTGTATTACATCTATTCAAGAGAAAATATACCTGAAGAAAAGCGAAAGTCAAACCATAAGTTATGAGAAGGATAGTAAAATAAATATGACATTCAGATAAAGTTGATTTCTGTTTACTTGATGTTGATCATCCTGGGAGTTTGAATGATGCTATAAAATTGATACTGTGGTGAACTGATTAATACTTCAGCAGGGCAGCATTGAAAGTATTCTGTTCACTTGACTGATCTGGAGACAGACCCAAATACGAATAAAATCTGTGTGATGCAAAGAATGAGCTGTGCAAACATAGTAGGAGGTAATAGTTTTAAAAATGCCTCCTACCTAGTTGTATTATAATAGGAGAAGAATATTAAATGTACCAGATTTCTGTTGTTGTCAGAGCAAATGCTGATATCTCCGATTAAACTCAAGTAGTGTGTTACAGGAGCTTCTTTTGCCTTGCCATTGCATTATAAACCTATTAGCACTCCGTTTTCTCCTCTTTCCCTTGCAGTTATTGAATGTCAGGGGACACTCTTTGCAATGCAAGCTTAAATTAAAAAAGAAAAAAAAGTTATAAGGGGCAAACGAATGAAAGATTCCAGTATCCTCAAACTTTGTGCAAAGTTGGAGAGGCAAGGCAGTACATTAGAAAGGCAAGCCTGCTGCATTTAGCCTGGGTTTGAATGAACTTCAAGTGAAATAACTTTGTTTTGAAGATGATCTAGGTATGGAAATCTGATATTTGTGAAGCAGGTCAAAGAAATTGAGTACTAGATGTGACAACTTTCCAAATACAACTTTTTTACAATCGTTTTACAGTGTGCAGTGTGCACTAAGTTGAAATGAGCAAATAGAAAAGCTTTCTTTCAAGAATTTATGCACAGACATTCTTTTTTCTTGTTCAGTTTTAAATTTGAGGAAATTCTGTCAAGAGGAGAAGTGTACATGATATTAAAGTGTGAGACTGCTAAAAAATAACAAAGCTTTATTAGATTAGAGAGAAAATTATATTTAAAGTTCCTCTTTTTCCACAAATCAGGATTAAAGATGAACACCTCAGAAATGACATGAGCTGTTTTTATTTTGGTAATACACTTTTTATGGTCTTATTGCAGGATGGAGGCCACGGAGAACAGTGATATTTGCAAGCTGGGATGCAGAGGAGTTTGGCTTGTTAGGATCAACAGAGTGGGCTGAGGTAAATTGATGTGGCTACAAGACAAGTGTTCATAATGACATATCTTTAAGAAATCTGTTTAAGAAAGCAGCACTTCCTCTCTCAATTGCTCTCTGTCTGTCTTACATACATACAGTTTTCCTTACAGACTCCCCAAGGTAGATCTGTTCAGTGCAGATCATACGACCTTACCTGAAACAGCTGTTACTTCTGTGGTCAGAAAAACTGTTCTGAGGAGAAAAGTTTATCAACATTTTCTTTCTGTTTTCCTTCTCAGGAAAATGCCAAACTGTTGCAGTCACGAGGAGTGGCTTATATCAATGCAGATTCTTCCATTGAAGGTATATTGTTTTGGCTTGCATTTTGTAGAAATGCAAGAGATGCATGTAGAAATGCAGAGATGGCATGTATGGATGACTGGGAGGCAGTTTGACTTAGAAATCTGTGAAAGCCTCAACATGATAATATTGTTGAGTTAATGTTATAGTGAATGTGGAAGGAAATGGTGACCTAGAATTGTAAAGCATCCTTCAGATATTCCATTGCTGGTGCTTTAGGGAAGAAGTACCTTATAGCAGCTGTATTATCTGGGGAGTCATGGTGAGCAACAATTGTTGTGCCTCTGTCAGCACTTCTGTAGCAACTCAGTAGGGTCTACATCCCCTCTCATAATGTTTGTAACCAGCATGGGGGCATAAGAAATGCTCTTATGGTTGCTTAAGAAGTTGGTCTGTAATTCATCCTAACTAACTCAAAGGAGAAGAGCATCTCTACAGGAAGAATCAGCTTGTTTCTTGTAGAGTGTGTAATTTTCTAATGTCTTTCTTATTAACTAATAGTGGCACAAGGCTTCAGTTGAACTTCCTTCTTCATATGAATATTTTTGTTCTGTTTTTCAGGAAACTATACGCTAAGAGTGGATTGCACACCACTGATGTACAAACTGGTGTACAGTGTGACCAAAGAGGTAATATTGCTTTAAATTTGTAGCCACAACATTCACTGTTTGTTTACTGGATGGGGCTTAGTGTATAAAATATGATGTCATGTTGCTTTCTTTTCTACCAAGGTAAAGGAAGTGTGTTTTCTGGCAATTGAAAGACAACAAATACAATTTAACTCTGTTAAAATTAGATGCCCAGTTAAAGATATTTCTGTCTGGAGCTGTGGAAGAGCTGATCACCTGCAGTTCCCATGGTAACTTGTGCTGAATGTGAGTGTTCAGAACTGCAGAAAATCAGGTCATTAGAGCCTTACTTTGGACACCAGAGCCATCATTAAATTGTTGACCTAAATACCAGTAAACATGGTTGCATAACCCTTCCTTGAGCTGGAAAGCAGCAACAAAGGCCGATTAATGCATGTTACTACACCCTGTTGGTAGCTGGGGTCTGAAGAGATCACTCATCAGAAAGGAGGTTGTGTAACACCGTCCAAAATTAACCTGCGGCAGAAAATGTTAACACGCTTGTTTAGGCAGTTAGCTCCATGTCCAAATAGCCAAGCATATTTTATTTTGATTGCTATCATGGAGTCATTCTTACAAATATATTAAAACAAAAATAGAGAGTAAAAAAATTTTAATACAGTAAAAGCAATGAAACCTCAGCTGCCCATCAGTGAAGAGAAAGCTGAAAAATATACAGTGTTTATTGTGCTCACTAATCTGGGAAGTAGTCTGAAAATAGTGATAGGAATGAACTAATAATAATTAGTTAATAATAATACACAATAATACTTGTGTAGCTCTGTAGCAGTAATAATGATGGAAGCACTCAGTGCTGCACACTTTGTCCTTCTAAAGTCACTACTCTATCTCTGGAAATCCTTGTTTTGAACCGAAACAAGGAAAAAAACAATTTTAAATTAAACCAAGACAGAATTCTTTGAAATTTCCTGCCAGATTGAAGCAAGAAGCTTTTTTTTCCCCCCAATTATTAATTAATTAAATTAATTAACTTAGTATTTAAATTAAATGACTGAACATCTCATTAAAAGTATCAGAATGTAAATATTGACATGAAGTGTTCTGCTTTTCTTGTGTTTTCTTTCACTTAAAATAACTTATTTTTAGGAAATAAAATATTCCTTTGAAAAATGTGCATTTAAAAGTTTGAACTGGAAATGTAGAAAGGATGAGGGATTATGACTTTTATTTATTCATTATCCTAAGCCATAGGCTTTGAGTGATGGCCAGTTTTAGTTTCATTGACTGGTAATATTTAAAACTGTACCTTTTGTCTTTTTTTGCAATATATATTTTCTAGATACCAAGTCCTGATGAAGGGTTTGAAGGAAAATCTCTTTATGAGAGCTGGTATAAAAAAAATCCATCAACAGACTATAAAGAGGTCCCCAGGTTAGTGACAAAAGAAAATGAAGACAATGCCTTAACTTACAGCAGCTTGTAGTTGTAGTTAAAGAAGTACCTACTTGAAAAACTGAGCACTTGAATGAAACAGTGTGATTTTCAACAGATACAGATTTCAGAGTCTGATTGCCACTGATACAGTATTGTACAACACTTACATGAACTTGGACTTGTTGCATCAACAGCTTTGTGAGTTAAAAGTAGTGTTGGCATAGTTTAGAGATGCAGACACATAAAGTATGTGAAAGGCAGTGGCAGGAGCACTAGATGATTACACAATAGCATTCCCTTGCAGTTTCTTCCAGTTACCTGGCAGGCCTCTGAATTTCTATGGCTACGGAGCACACCAAGCAGGTTTTTGCAGTACTGTCCTTCAGAATTTACTGAATCTAAGAAACTGATTCTCTTATGTGAAGCCATGCTAGTACTGTTGTGTTTTTTTCTCAGTTGAGAGACTGGAAATAATGAAAGTTCAGCAGGAAGAAGGTGTTTTGGTCTTCTTAATTATTAAAGGCAGTGAGTTAAATTTTCCCCTTTAATGTTTTCTCTGCAATGGCTCTGTCCTCGTAAGAATACAGTTGTTGGTAGGAGATGAATACAGTGCAGGTTTTCAGGGAATTTGTGGTGTGTTGAAAGAAAGAACGTTCTAGGGAAAGATTATGTAGTGACTGTAGCAGGAGAATAAATAGCTATCTCAGTACTTGGAAACAAACTAGGAAATGTATGTTGAGTATTGTCACTCAAGGCATTTTCTTCTTTCTTGTTAAAAGAATAAATAAACTGGGTTCTGGCAATGACTTTGAGGTCTTTTTTCAACGTCTTGGCATCGCTTCAGGCAGAGCACGTTACAGTAAAAACTGGGTAAGTCTGCATCTTAGTAATGGCATCTCCCTTGCAATTGCCTGAATAATAACTGTAAATGAGCCATTCACAGTGGTAGCTTTTTTGAATAGTTCAGTTTTCTGTGTCAGCGTGGAGTCTCAGTTCCTAACTAGAGCTCTACATGATACTATGCTACAAATAATTAATAAACAGGACTTGTCAACTTGGTGTCAATCAGACAAGAGAAGAGGAATTTTATTTAGAGTAAGTGGATGTACTCAAAATTACTTATGGTTCAGGAAGGGTTCAGTGGCTTATGATGCCTTTCAGATGAATTTGATGGCTTATGAAGCTTTGAATTCAGCAGTAATTCATGTTTTGTGAAGAATATAGGGTCGACTCTGGTTCATGGTATGAAAACAACTGAGAAATGTTTGAGAAGCAATCCATTAAATTTAGTCTTTTCCTGTGAAAAAGCTCAGCCAAAGTCGTAAACAGAAATAACTACTGAGATCCAAAGAGAGGAAGGGCAAATTCACATTAATTCAGAAACTAGAAGTTGTGTCTGTTCTTGGCTATCTTCTTTAGGCCCAGTTCCAGGTCAGTGGAAAGAGCTTCTCACCGTAACCATTTCATCATAAGCAGATGTCTAGAGCTAGCTCCACCACTGAACAGTTCTTCCCATGTGATTGTCCATAGTGGCTACAGCGTAGTAGTGTGACCTGAACACTTAACTTTACTGTGCCTTAAATCCTACAGCCAAGCTTTTCAAACAAACAGAAAGTATCTGTAGCTGACTTGAATAATGAATTTGTTTGATTTTGTTTGTTTCAGAATGTAGAAAAATATAGCAGCTATCCAGTTTACCACAGTGTGTATGAAACCTATGAAATTGTGGAAAGATTTTATGATCCCTCTTTCAAGAATCATCTGACAGTAGCTCAGGTACGGGGAGGGTTGGTGTTTGAATTGGCCAACTCTATTCTGCTTCCTTTTGACTGTAGAGATTATGCAACAGCTCTGAGCAGCTATGCTCATGTCATCTATAACATGTCAAGGAATCATGAGGAAGAACTGGCAGCATACAATGTATCCTTTGGTAGGTATAATCTTTTAATTCCTCTGTTAATTGTAGCGATGCCTTATTTTAATTTATAAGCCTTCCAGTTCCTTCCTTTCTGCTCCTTCCAGATGCTCTCTTTTCAGCTGTGAAGAATTTTACAGAAGTTGCTGATAGCTTTCATGATAGACTGCAACAAATAGATATCAACAAGTAAGTTTAACTGTTTTTTCTTCCAGCCAAGTCTTCGTAGTCCTCTGGGCTCAGAGGGCATTGTCTTTGCTTGCATTGAGTCCCCTGAATAACCATGATGACCAATGGCAGGTGGCCATTTGAAGTCCTTATGGGCTCTTGTCTTTAAGGATCTGATTATTCTAAGAAACATAATATGGAAGTGTTGAACTAGTGGGCATCAGAGAGACACTGGAGAGCCTGGAAATCTAGCCATTTTCTCTTTGAAAAGTATCCAAGGTAATGAATGTCAGTTCTGCTCAGGAGGAGCACTTGGGTGGTGCATGGTTGTGACACAAAAGTATACTTCTTTTATGTATATGTAGACGTATGTTACATTTCATGGGAAGGGTGGAGCTTAGCCAGAAGCTTGCCCTTGTGGAATACTAAGAGTAAAAGCCCTATTTTTAATTGTGGCAACTTTGAAGAGAGATAAATTTATGTAAAATATTAGATTTATGACATATGGCATATCTGAGACATTTTTCTGGGCCTCATAATGCTATGGTGCTTATATCATGTTATTTGAAAAAAGGTTAGTTTGCATAAGCAGAAAAAATGACTTTTAAGCTAATTAATTCATTTTCTGTTTTGTGCTGCATTTGCAAATCATAACTTCCCTCCCGACTTTGTTAGATCTCTTCTGCTTTAGTTATTTTGATTTTGTAACTCCTGTCAGATACCAAGCTTACACATTTGTAAATTTCAATGTATTTGTTTTCCTGAATCACTAAAATGTGTCCGTAAACATAGCTGAAGTTTCAAAGTAAATATAGAAGAAAACACTTTACCATTAATCTTTGTGACTCAGTAACATGTCTTGATAATTCTGCAGCACAGTTGCAAATGAGAAAATTCAGTCTAAAATCATTTTACTGATGATTGACCTAAATATAAACATTAATTCAGCCAACCAGATTCAGTTTATATCTGTATCAGTGTAAGCTTGAAACAATTTCATTGACAGTTGTAGAATTACTGCAGGCTTACAGTGATAGAAAATTCACCACTTTTTCTTGGTGAGTGCTTTTGAAGCTTTACAGTAAGTTACTTTGAATGTGAACTATCAAACTCAGATATAGTCAGCATATTCTCCTTCACAGTTCTTCTATTTGTTAAGCATCAGTAGTATGCCCAGAGCTATTCAGAGCACACAGAAACAGATGGTCTGTGCTCCAGGGAATTTGCAGTCTGCTATCAGAAAAGCAAAATTCTTGGATTACTCAAAAGATGATTCTAATGTTCCTGTTTCTCAGAGGTGATTTTATATAAATGCTAATGTGATTTTACGGAAGTAATTTGGTGTTGACTGGCTTTTTGGAAAATGGAGTCTTCTATAAAAGAAGAGAATGGTCTATCTAAGCATCCTAACAAAAAGGAGGGAATAAAATAAAGCATGAAAGAAAATACCTGAAAGTCTGTCTTCTTTGACAATATTCCTTGGTCTGTAGAACAGCTTTAAAAGACTTTCAGGTCTTTTCTCTCCTCTGGGGAGACCTCATTGTGGCCTTGATTGGAGCATATAAACAGGGGGGGGAACGGCTTTTTACAGGGTGAAATAGGACAAGGGGGAATGGTTTTAAACTGAGACAGGGGAGGTTTAGGTTAGATATTAGGAGGAAGTTTTTCACCCAGAGGGTGGTGACACACTGGAACAGGCTGCCCAAGGAGGCTGTGGATGCCCCATGCCTGGAGGCATTCAAGGCCAGGCTGGATGTGGCTCTGGGCAGCCTGGTCTGGTGGTTGGCGACCCTGCACATAGCGGGGGGGTTGAAACTAGGGGATCACTGTGGTCCATTTCAACCCATGGCCATTCTATGATTCTATGATTTATACACCAGACTGTCTCACAGTATAGAATAGCATAATTTGCTCATGCAGGTTAGTAGTCATGGTCTGTCTTCTGTGGGCTGTGGTTCAAGTTCAACACCCTGGATCTACTGTCCTTCATATTTCCAGAGCTGTATACATCTCATAGCATGAACAGAGTAAGCAAAAAAATAATTTGTTATATATAGCTGATGTCTTCTTATGTTGTTTTCTTTTTAGCCTGCTTGCTGTTAGATCGTTAAATGATCAAGTCATGTTTCTAGAAAGGGCTTTCATCGATCCACTTGGTTTACCTGGAAGGCCATTTTACAGGTAAGAAAGGGTTACTTTCCACTTTCTGCCTGAAATACTGTATGAGAATTTCTTTGTAATTTATGGATCTCTAAATGAAATTGTAATGACTTTATTGAACATAGTAAAAGTACATTAAATAGGAAAAATAAGGTTGCAAGGGAAACAGTGCTAGGGAAAACTGCACTGAGAGACTCTATACAGAGTGAGTCTTGCTGTAAGCGTATACAAATCAAAAAATCCATTTCCATTGATCTTAGTGTGCTTCTAACCAGATCAGAAAGTTTGGCTCTGGTCCCAATGCAAATTCTCTGGTAAAAATTTTTTAGGAAGCTGTGAATTGGAAGTGACATAGGGTATACTGGAAACATTTAAAATTGGACCCATCGTAGCAGAACAGGCATGCTAGCAAATACATTATGGAGGGCAGTCCTCCAGCAGCAGTGAATTCAGAGTTCTCTCTTCCAGTTCAAGAAATAAATTTTGTTGGAGAGGCAGAATAGCCAAATCAAGTATAAGGATGAAATTAGCTTTTTCATCCTTATACTGCTCTGCATTCTGAATAGTAATCTTTCCAATAAAAAGTAACTGGAGAAGGAGAATGTAAGATTCACAATCGTATCTCTCATGACTTCTGATTAAAAATCTCTTGAGAACAACCTTGTTAGAACATCAACTTTCATACCTCAAAGCATGCCTGTATCTGTCAAAGGCTGTGTATATCTGTGAGAAGAGATGCTGGCTCTTTTTTCCTTTTTTTAATCTTTCCCTTTCTTCTGAAGTGAGGGAAAGGTAAATGCTTAGTCAGTTTTATCTCAAGTCTTCTTAGCTACAAAGTCGTTGAATTTGCATGGAGTAATGTAGCTTGTTTAATTTTCTTTCTTCATAGACTGTAGGCATTGTTGCTACAATGACAATATTTATTTACACCTTCAGTGTCAAGAATTTGACAAAGAATGTGGAAACACCAGATTAAAAAAAAAAAAATTATTTTCCTATTACAGATTTTTTTTTTCCCCCTTAATTACAGACATGTTATCTTTGCTCCAAGCAGCCATAACAAGTATGCAGGAGAATCATTCCCAGGGATCTATGATGCCATGTTTGACATTAAAAACAAAGCTGATCAAGATGAAGCCTGGAAAGAAGTTAAGAGGCAGATCTCCATTGCAGCCTTCACTGTACAGGCAGCAGCAGGAACACTCAAAGAAGTAGCATAAATATCTGCATTATCATCAATGAAGACTATGTTTAACAGTGTGCAGAAGCCTCAAAACCAGAACATTTGAAAACACTAAGACAATTACTAGAAGTGCCACAAAACCCAAACAGTCTTGTTCTTTCTTATTATTATAACCAAGTGGAATGCACTTAGCAGTGTTAACAAGGTAATAATGTATTATATAAATTCTGGATAATGGATGCATTATATAAATTCTGAAGTGAAAGTCTGCATTAAAAAACATATTTTCTCTGCTTCACATTTTAAGAATCTCTAGCCAAGGGATTTATTTTCAGAGCTTTCAATTCTGCTTGCTTAATTTTTTATCTTTGTATTTTTTACCTTTGAGTTGCAGATTTGTACTCTGTGACCATCTTTTTGCTTTCCTTTTACATGAAGATTCACATAGAAAGATGGGAAAACTGTTCCATACCATGTGAAGAATGCATTAGGATCATAACAAATTTTGAGCTGCCAGCCCAAAATACTCATACCTATGTTGTATTATCTTGGCCATACCATAGCATTCTTACTATTAAGACAATTAGAAGAAAAGAAAATTCATCATGTCTCTTGTGTGAAAATTTATTAAATTATTAAAACCGCCGTAGAACCTGTATTTCTGATTTTGGCATGCAGCTTACTCTTACACCAAGCTGCTGAAGGGACAACTGAAATCGATGGAGAAGACTCAGAAAACCAGGTCAATTCATCTGACAGTCTGCCACTGCAGGAATTCAATAATATTTCTGTGAAATTTGATTTGTTATTTCATCTGAGTCCTCCACCATTTCTTAGAAGATTCATCTGGTGGATTTCAGTGTAGTGATTTTTTATTTTCCATAACAATTAATTTATTCTTAACAATTCTTCTCACATTAAAAACCTTTGTTGTTAGATCATTTTACATGGCAGCTACTCTTTCTCAAAATAATTCAGTTTATCAGGTAGTGGGAAGTGCTCTTGCAACCACAGTTGTTACCCAGTTGTTTACATATTTCTATGGAATTGATTAAAGCTGGAATAAAAGCATGAAGACACGTTCTCCAAAATCAAGTTGTGTGGATGGGAGGCAATGCTGTCTTAGTTTTATCACTGCTGTCTGCTCCACTGCTCCTTTTGTCAATGAAGCAATGAATCATGATGTTCTATGGTCCAATTCTTGCAAAATTAGTGAGGTTAGTTTCGGTTATCAGTTAAGTTAACCTATAGGATTTTGTGTTTAAAGATCTCTTTTCCCTTCCCTTCCCTTCCCTTCCCTTCCCTTCCCTTCCCTTCCCTTCCCTTCCCTTCCCTTCCCTCTCACCTCTCTCGTTTTATTCTATTCAATTCTGTATTATGAGTTACAACAAATGAGCACAAAATGAAAGAACAGTTTTGTGTGCACTGAGAAATGGCATTTCACATTACTCATTTACTAGGAGGACAGTAAGAAGCACAGGTCACGTGACATTTATGAATGAAGTCAAGGCAACTGGCACATGCCAGCAAATGAAGCATTCAGTTCCTATCAGCCTAGTGGCAAAACAGCAGTTAAATAAACAATAAATAAGCATTCTGAGCCCTGCCTGTTAATATGTTCTTGAGAACTTTGTAACTTTACTGACAAATATTTCCAGTTCAGTGATTCTTAGAGCTCAGAAAACAGCCTGAACCAGCCACATGCACAAGGAGATACATCTTATGAGCAGGTCTCCTAAGACACACTGTGAGAAACCAGATAGAGGAACAGATAGTTTTTAAGCATCTGTTAGATCTGTCGGTGTAGCTCAGGTGTACAGCTGTTATCTAACTGAAGCCCTGAGTGTGGAATCAGGGAGTGGTTGGTGTGTAAATTGGCTTCAGGTTGAAATGGAGCCCTGGAGGTCATCTAGTCCAACCCTACTGTTGTGGGCAGGATACTTTTCACTAGATGGAGCTGCTCCTGGCTCCCTTCCAGCCTGGCCTTCCAGGATGGGACATCCATAGCTTCTCTGGGCAATCTTTTCCAGTGCCTCACCACCCTCATCCTAAAGGATTCCTCCCTTACATCTAATAAAAAAAAAAAAAAAGTCTTTTTTGTTGGACTTCTACAGTGAGTCAAACTTTTAATGCTACTAACTGCTGTTGACCAGATTAACCATTTTGACTCTTAAACTTTGATATTAATCCACAATAATTGGCCAAGAAGGACTACTGAGTTAATTTTTTTACAACTGGTTGTAAATAGGAATAAAAAAGAAAATGTGTTGAATTTACAGTTAGTAAACTGGTTGTATAACTTGAGCAAGTTGTTCATGTAATTACAGATGTTTTCAGCTAGAGATGACCAATAGGGGAATTGTTTACTATAACCAAGAGCTTTGTTCTCTAAATATGCTGTAATGACTACTTGGAAGAAATAACATCGTACTTCCAGACAGCTCTTTGCATGGTCCTTGCAAACACTCATTTTTGATAGTTACAGCAGACAAATTCATTATGTCATTGATTTAAATACAGAAGCAGCTGACTTAAATAGAAGTCAGGAGTTTTATAAGTGTTAAGTAAGCAGAGGGGGGAACCTCTGGCATTATTAAGAGAAACAAGAGAAAAAAAAAAAAGTTTTTTTTATAAAGTACATCTTCTCATATGTCGTTAAACTGAATGCTGTAAAGATTTTCCAAAGAACTCCATGTGACCATACTGTGCACTGTATATCAAATGAAATGAATGTGTTGGAAAAGTAGAACCTATACTTGTATTAAAATTAATCCTTGATGTCAATGTTCGAGCAGTCCCTGGTAGTCAAGTTCTTTGAGACTGGACCTGTGCTTGTCTCTCTGTATGTAAGCTGTTTGAAATTTGCAGCTGGATCACAGACAGTGGTGTGGTGGAGCAGAGTACTCAACTCTGAACAGCTGCTGTCAGTGTGTGTCATTCTTTCATGTGACTCACAGCAGGTCCTGAGGGTAGGGGACTGCAATTCGTAGAGCAACATCATTCAATCAGAGGATTGTAGGGTAATTCAGGCTGGAAGATACATCAGAGGTCTGTAGTGCAAGTTGCTGTTCAATGCAGGATCAGCTCTGAGGGCAGATCAGGTTGCACAGGGCTTCATCTAGTCTGGTCTTAAAGAACTCCAAGGACAGAGACTGCAAAACCAGTCTGTGCAACGTGTACCACTGCTTCAGTCTGTAATGAAGAAAAGCTTTTGCTTCCGTTGATGCCTACTGTTCTTCATGTTTCTTGAAAGACTTTTTGTAGACACCATTCGGTTGCTTTTGGTTTATGCTTAATGTGCAGTTCTTTACTCTTTCTATCTCACTTGGTTTATTCCCCTTGCAGAAGAAAGGCTCAAAGTCTGCAAGCTGAACTTAGCTGCCAGTAATGTAAACTTTATCTGGAATCTGATTAGGGACTTCTGAAGTTCAATATAGCAGTCTCCAACTCAAGGCATCAAAATCTGCTGCCCTTTTAATCTAGCAGTCAGACAGATTGCAGAGGCCATGAGAGAGAGAACTCTGGGGAGACTGAGAAACTGGCAGAGTCAGAAGGGATCTGTTGACTTGAAATTGCAGTTGAGCATTCCTTGACTGCTAAATAAGATGCTCAGTGAGATCTATGCATTTCTGTTTGGAGCAGCTTCTTTTGCCTCCTCATAGATGTGATTTTCCATTCCAGGCATGCTGTATTTCAGCTCTCATATGTCAGGCTCATTTTTCTCTGGCTTCAGTTATTCTTAGATGTTTTAGCATAGTCAAGACATGCCAGTACAACTTTGGCTTTGTGATTTAGTAACGTCTCTTGTGGGCTACTCAGGGCATGTATCATGAAGTAGCAAATGTGCAGGACACAGGCTGCATTTCTTATGCTGCATACTTTAGAATTGGTAGTATGAGCAAGGAAGAGAAAGCAAGGGAATTAAAGAAATAGAAAATGACTGGGATGAGGGGGACAAGAAAATGAGCAGCAAAAAATACTGAAGAGAGCCCCCTCTTCCAGCTTAGGCAACGAGGTGAATGAAAGTGGGTACAGGAGGCATCATTCCATTTCCCTTCTCTTGAAAAATAGTTCAAGCCACTGCCTCTGCACACTCTGTAAGAATCATCTATGTTTCTGCACCCTGTTCCCCCTTCCAGAAGGGAAGATAGCAGCATCTACAAGTTCTGTTATCAAGCGTAAACTCCTGTTTCTCCATCATGAATGGATTTGGCCTTTAGATGTCGCTCTTCTCATCTTCCTGCCAAGTGCGTAGATGGGATAACTAATGTATACTCTTGCAGCATATCAGCAAGTGATTTTAATTCTATATATAGTAGATGTGATCCAGGAGAGAGCCAGCAAAAAAAGTTAGGTAGTAATGCCACTCCTTGAACTGGCCTCCACAGCACACCAAGATTATTGGAGGCACAGATTCATACTATGGTATGCTTGTATTTAAATGAAACATAAGGTACTCTGCATGTGGCCAAACCATGGAGTCTAAGAGCATACCACAGCTAACAACTAATAGTATTAGAACTTTGTCTTAAACTGTAGAAGCCACTGGGTTACTGCTGTATTAAACACAAGATGCCTGATTCAGTCTCTGTATATCTGATATTGTGAAGATATAGAAAGATACAGAAATAAATGTATTTCTTACTGTCTCATTGTTACTATTCTTACCTTCTTCCTCCACTGATGTTACAATCATGTGAGATCTAATTTAGGCATTAATCCCCAAAAGCCCTTGTCACTTTGCTGTCTATTATGTGCCAATCCCACACCTGTGGTGCTATATAAATGCCAGTAATACACCAATATGCTCATTTGTTATATTTTCTGAAGGTGGAAATCCATCTGGCTTGTGTATGTCAAGTGAGATGTCGTGGAAAGTCCTTGCTGTTCAGGATTTGTGATAGTTTATGAGCAGCTGGGAAACGACAGGAAAAAAAAATAAGAAAACTGGACTTGCTTATTGTTCTTGCTTATAGTTTAAACAAAGACATCCAGCCATGTGGCCGCATGCTCAAGTTCATGGCTTTGAGTGGAATAGAATCCCCAAGTCTTGCAACTCTTCTGTATCTCAAGCCTTCTTGAAAGGCCCTTCCTGCTGTGACTGGGATGCTAAGCAGCCTTTCCAGCTATTTCTGATTATTTTCCTCTCGGTACAGTCTGAGACATTTGAAGCACTTGGATACTTGATACTTGGAGCACTGCTGTTTCTTTCACAGGATCTATCTCCTTTGGACCTTTGGGATCGAGCAGTAAGAACAGCGTGCATGTCTGGGTTCCCAGAAAAGCTTTCCTGCCTTCATCCTGAGAAGCTGTCTCGTGGGCAGGCCCTCAGTTCCAGAAAGATCTGCCTTGGCTTCAGTGGCAGCGAGAGAGATACAGAGCCAGGGTAAGTTTCCACAAAAAGAATTGGCTTTTCCCTGGGCTGAGGCTGCATCCTTTCCCACGAAATACTGATGGATTTGGTAGAATTAGACTGTCAAAACTAGATCCTAGGGACCTCATAGTCCAAAATGTAAAAAACTAAAGGATGTAGGAAATCCTTTGGCAACATATCTAAATTGGAAAGTGACATCTGGAAGTGTCCCCATTGGCTAATTTAAGTGTTTATTGCTTGCCAACATAACCACAGATTACAAAGAGGAGCGATTCAATGCTTCCTCAGTAAAGAGAAAGTAATTTTCCCTTCCTCCATTTCATCTTGCGGTCACTTCCACGGATTGTGGTTTCAGCTTGAAACAGGAACTTTCTAAAGCAGAAAGTCCTGATAATTAGTAGAAAATGGTTTTAAAAATAATAGTTAAGCACTGCTTGCTGCACAGCCTTTGTTCTGATACACAGACTGTCTTGTGGGGCGGTTTGCTGTGCTCAGAAAATCCTCCCATTCTCATCGCCGGGTTGCAGCTTCCTAGGCAGGACATGAGCTGAGGATCACCGAAGCTTGAGGCAGCCCTGGTGCCGAGGGGGGAAAGAGGAGGGGGAGAGAAAGGAGGAGAAAGAAGGCAGCAGCTTGCCTGCCCTCTTTGCCTGTCACAGAGCTGCCCGTATGGCCAGGAGCCGGGCCACCCTCTGCACATGGCTGGGCTGCCCTGCGCTGCTGGGCTGCTTTGTGCTGGGCTTTCTCATAGGTGAGTACAGAGCTCTGAGACTCAGCCTGCAGCTCTCGTCCTCCACAGACACTTCTATGCGACCCGTGTCGTGATTAACTTCCCATCTAGGAGCTTGGGCTGCTGTCCAGGGACTTCAGATAACGCACACTTGCACCAAAAGTGTTCATCTCTCAGATTTGTGTCTTTGGGGAGGGAGAGGAATACAGC